CGATAACGTCTCCGGCAAATACGTGTTATTATCGATAATTATGAGTTCTTCGACGAACACTTGCTTACATAAATAACACAACTCAAAAATAAAATGTTTATGTAGGTAATACAGTTGCTAGGATTCAGACATAAACATCTAGATTTAGATAACCTTTTTCGTCTTATTTATTTTGTGATACCATCACAAATACTATATAGAAATAAATGACCTTATTACGTCACATTTCACGAGATATAACAAAATGATTATAGGACCACAAGACCACTACACGATAAATATAATACAACCACGTGGATCAATGACTGCTCAGTGCTCACTGCTGCAACTTGACGGGGTTGCAACTCCGAAAAAACATACTCCTAGTAAAACTTAATTTTGAATTCCTCTTAAATTGTTGTAATAATTTACATACCTAGTTATATGAACATTTTATATTCAGTTGTGTTCATAATACTATACCATAGTTTTATGAACATTTTATATTCAGCCCGAATAAGTAAATTAAAACCTTTATACTGCGAACTTTCACGAAACTAATTTCATTTAATGGCGAGTAACGTTTTCTATCGTTTTATATTATGTATTATGTACCTAATGAAAAAAAAAATACAACATTTTGACGATTTTAAATCTTAGATCTTAAATATCCGAAAGACGTTATTAAATTCTAATATATTAAATAACAGAGTGAGAAACAGATTTCAAGACATCGTGAATACAGGCCGATTTATGAAATAATTTGCACGATAATTATTTATAGGTGCGCCCGTTTTTGTTTTAAGAATTAATTAATAATAGGGTCTGCATCTCTCAGAAATGAGAAGCCTGTGCTCAGCAATATGACGTATATAAGCTAAACTTAAACTTTAGGGTCTGCATCCTTTCGCATTGATTATACTACTTTCTATAATTCGGAAATTCTTGTACTTAAGTTCGTTTATTCAAGATTATAGCGATAAAAATTAACTTTTAACTAAATCACCCCAAGAAGTATGTATATCCTGTTTAATAAAAAAAAATCATCAAAATCTCTTCAATTAATCAATCATTAAAATAGAAACTATTGTATTATAGACGAATTTACAACCCCTTCATTTTAGGAAGTCGGTTAAAATATGCTCCTGAACAATCTTTAAAAAACTAAACATTTAAACAATCTCCCTACATTCAGGGAAAATTTACTTAAGTAAGCAGCCCTATCACTGGAAGCCTAAGCGAAAAACTAAATGTGAGTGATAACTCTAGATGGCCCTAGTGAACACATTGTTTTGCTACCAAATGTAGCTAGATGGCGCTACATTGATGCATATTTTAACTTTGAATACTATATTCATCAGCAAATAATGCACTGCCATTTCCGGTAGGTGGCGCAATTAGTTTGAAGATACAAGATAAAATTACTCGACTCTACCCCATCGCGATCCTGCCACCCATTTCTTATGTATTTGTTTGATTGGAGTGTATATACGGGAAATTCTTGTTTGGTTTGGCATTTAACCAATAGTCATGTGAATATAAGTCAGTGAGATATTATGTAATTTTATAAACAAAAGTTAGTCATTTAATCACCTCAATCGGTCTAAACGTATTGATGATTTTTAGACTCTACAGTGTTGGAGTGTTGCTGGAAGGTAACATTTCGTACACATTAAAAAAAATTATTCCTTAGATATCACAATTTAGGTCAGTTCAGTGAAACAAATTATCAAAAGCCTGTAATTTACAGTATTATTTACAAATAACTGATTGTTATAAGGGTAAAGAAAAATAATACGAATTCCGATTATCCACCCTAGGTTGGATGTTTATCCAACCTAGGATGGAATTCGTATATTATTTTTCTTTCGATTTCCAGTCGCTGTTTACAGTCGTTTATAAAAACATGATAGAAACTGGCCCAAGATTACTTAGCATACTTATAAAAAGACATAAATACTTACTTCTTGTTTAAAAGTCAAAACTGAAATACTTTTAATTGTTCAATTACATATCATTCGATGAATGAATTGCATAGGGTCGTATAAATTATTCTCTCTTGGACCTATATGCGTTCCTAAATGAATTCAGTGTGACATAAGTTACACAAGAAGATAATATGACGAACACTGTGGCAGCGCATAAAAGACCAACAAACATTAATTTTTATGTATTAGATTTAGAAACGGCAAGGTAGCGAGTAGTTTTCAGGTAAATTTTAGACGTGCGGATACTTTGAAGAATGTTTGGTATAATTGGATTTAGTACAACACAAACAAATATAATATAATCATATATAAATCTGTCCTTATCATTTAGACAAGATATAATTAGCATAACTATTAACTATGATTAGAGAATTTGTATGAATTTTGAGATGAAACAAAGGCGATCCATTGATGTTTAATTAATATCTTATCTAGTGAAACGGTTAATGTTAATAGAGATATGACGAGTTTGAACAACGACATAAATTAGAAATTTACCAAATTGTAAGGTAAAATGAAAGATATACGACGGCCATTTTGCTAAATTACCTGCACAACGTTCCGCACGTTGGTCCCGGCCGGTATGACGGTGACCTGCTGCCCTGTGCTGGTCAGTATCTGCGGTTGCTGTTGCATACCGCTAGAGTCCGCTTGCATCGGGTTGGATACCGCCTTTTACGTCCGAGCAGCGGGTGGATAAATATATATTACAATACTAGCCTTATATACATGTTACTTACCAATAAATGAATTTAATATACCTACACTACATTTTTGATATCTATTAACTAATATTATATTCTACTGGTACCTACTTGTATAGAAAAGTATACCACTAATAATTATATTTAACAGTAAAATTAGATCATATATTCATTAAATACACAGTACTTTCTGTTGTATAAAAATTAAGGGCATAATGAATTTAGTTGTCCTAATTTTAAGATATTGTTATAAATTATATGAACATAAACAATGGTTTATGTGAAAGTTCTTTGGAGGAATTAAAATCATATTCTTTGACAAAATATTTGATTATAACAAAACTCAATTAAAGTCATATAAAAGCGATAATTTTTTAGAAGAAATAGAAGATAATTGTACATGAAGACATACAAATAGTAATAAACTTATTAAAATGGACCTTTGCAAATGTGTTTTCCTTTAAGTATTATAACATTATACATATAATGTAATTCTACATATATGTAATACAGTATATATATATATGTACAAATAAGTGCAGTGTTTTTAGGCAGTTTGTACTGTGTACCTGCAGCGTGATGGTGGCGGACGTCTGAGCCGCACTGGCCGTCGCCTGCGTCCCAGCGTTGGGCTGCACCAAACCAAACCCACCTTTGTATTTACACTAATGCCCACTACTACGAACACATACAACTAATGTGCTATTTAAAGATTTTACGACAGTATACAGACAAAGAGAATTCAACGTCAAAGTTATTGAACTGTTATCAGAGAAATGCAATTCTAGGTAAATTTTAGGAATAATACATACGTACCTATTCGGACTATTTTCAGTATATATAATTATGTTTTTAATTATTTGCTTTAAGTATCTACTACAGTAAGATTATTTATTTCTCAAACCACTTTGCTTAAGTATTTGGTAGTTACACATGAAGAGGATAGGGCAACACAATTCTATGTGAAAATATTCATATTTGTTAGTAACAATTAAAACAAAAAAAAAACAAAAAAAAACTGATTATTAAACTTGGAATAAAATTTAAGAAGAATTTACATGTTTGACGGTCACACAATCCTCGAGGATAGTGGATTCGGTATTTTTGTTTAGTTATTAATTCCTGTTAACTAAATGCTTCTGGGACTGTTTTTCTTAATAAATTTGGTCATATGGAGAAAATCAGCATTGTAATTTCCATAATAATTTTGGCATGATTTAGGAGTCAATATCCAAGCGAAACGAGATATATATATATCATATATATATATATATAAATATATATATATATATATATATATATATATATATATATATATATTTTACGGCACTTTTTAGGGTTCCGTAGTGAACTAGGAACCCTTATAGTTTCGCCATGTCTGTCTGTCAGTCTGTCCGTCCTCGCTTACTCTCTGTGACCGTTAGCACTAGAAAGCTGAAATTTGGTACCAATATGTGTATCAATCACGCCGACAAAGTGGTAAAATAAAAATTGGAAAAAAAAGTTTTATTAGGGTAGCCCACCTATATGTAAAGTGGGAAGTGATTTTTTTTAATTTCAACCCTAACGTGTGATATATTGTTGGAAAGGTATTTAAAAATGCATATGGGTTTACTAAAATCATTTTTTGATAATGTCAATAATTTCGGAAATAATCGCTCCAAAAGTAAAAAACAATGTGTGTGTGTCCCCCCCCCCCCTTCTAACTTTTGAACCATAAGTTTAGAAAATATGAAAAAAATCTGAAAAGTAGAACTTTATAAGGACTTTCTAGGAAAATCATTTTGAACTTGGATGGAAACTACAGTACCCACTACCGGGAGCAGTTGCAGGAGCGCGGAGCGCTGCTGGAGCGCGAACATAATGGATACCCACCTTTAAACTCATAAATGGGAACACTTATTGTGACGGACAGGAAACTACGGAACCCTACACTGAGCGTGGCCCGACACGCTTTTTGGCCGGGTTTTTTTTTATAAATATTACCAGTAAGAAGTGTATACACATGGTACATATTATGTTTCTAAATTGTTGTACTATATTGTTGAGTTGTGCAGGTCAATAGTTTGTGTTGAATAACAGATATCTTTCTATTTTTCTTATATTTAGCTTAATATTATTGAAGCTTCCACATTAAGATGTTTACGGTTTATTTAACTATTATAAGAAATATTTTTAATGTTGTAAGCAAATGTTTTATAATTATCACTATATATAAATATGTATATATATGTCAACAATAATTGTTAGTTAATATATAATTGATTTAAACATAATGGTATAAATATTTACACAGAAATGTAACATTTTGATAACAAAGTTTCCTCACCTGGACATTCCCAAGCGATGCTATTTGTATTTGTTGTATTTGGCCCGATGGAGTTAGGACGTTTGCGACTTGAGGTTGTGCTTGCATCTAAAAAAAAAACAATTTTATTAAACCGCTTGGGGGGTTTCCACCACCTTGTTGTCAATATACTACGCATTCGAAATAAACGGATTACTTCGTTTTTCGTAATGCGTACAGACACGGAGTGGAACGATCTTGTAATAATCGGGAGACGGTCTTTCAGTCCAAATAAAATTTAAGCGTCATCAAGGCAAGAGTGAATAGGCTTTTGTTACCGGAAAGACAGTGTGATTTACCATCCAGGTCTTCATTACCACTTACGACCAGCCACCAGGTGTGATTGTACTCAAGTATTGGCTTATAATAAGTAAACAAGATAGGTGTGCCTTCAAAATTTTTGCCTAAGTACTGAAACTTTTAGAAGCCTTCACTTTTAGTGCCACAAATAAATTTCCAACTGATGATGGACACCTGCCAAGGACACCTGCCAACTTTTATAAAAAGCTATAGGTACGTCATACGTTCATAACTAAGTATTTATTCAACAGTACCTATACAATAACATAGACGGAGCGCTGGGTACATTTGAAGTGACGCCGAAACTAAGCTAAAACCATGCTCAATTTATTATAATAACACGCACTCTTTCTTTGTTGTCTGAGATGATACTGATAAGTTTAGTGTTTCTAAATTATAAGGCGTTCCTAATTGGCTATCGATCGTACGATTAAACGATGAAAAAGATCGTGCGATGGTTCAACAGGTGTCGTAATATCTCGCGCGACGCCGCCGCGCCGTCACCGCCATAGCGCATTATGAGACCAAACGATGGGGACAAACATCTTAAAAATCTATAACTTTTGTTTCTTGACATTTTGAATTGAAATTTTGTATAAGTATTCCTTAATACTTATGCTATTAGATAGTTAAAACATCGCCACTTTAAAAACTTTATTTATTTAGTAAAATAATGATGAATCTAAAGTTTTCATACTAAAGGTAAATAAAAGAATTTATTAAAGTTGTTCACACAGAAATGTACTGTGTGAACTGTAATGTTCATAACCAATAATGATTATAATTATTACTACAGATAAAAAGTATGCAACATCGTTTTTATCATCCGTGTGCCTAAAATGATCATCGCAAAAAAATTGTGAATATATTTTTCCAAATATTAAATACCTATGATATTTTATGCTTACTTGTTAAATAAAAAGTGTTTTATTGTAAACAAACAATAATATTTTGTTGTATCCACAAATGTCATAAATCTTATATCTACAAATAACTAGAATCTTCAATTTATTTTTTTCTCTCAGCTGACATTTTAATTTTAAAAAATAACGAAATTTTCCTTGACATTAAAAAATTAAAAAAATATATATTATTATGAAAACATAACGTAGGTACTTGTAAATTAGACATGTCGAGCAATCCAAAAATGTATAATACTACTTGTTCATTCTAAGAATGCCGTTACCTCCCGCCGCGCTCCCCCACTCCGCACCTCAAGTGTCGCCCTGTTGGGACCGATAGCAGCGCCTTCCTAATGTTTTACGTATTTGATATATTTTAAATGTAAAATAAAACTAAAATTTTTTTAATTATAATATTTTATATTTGTATTGGACACGTACCTATTCACTGTTATTATTTCACTTTACTCAATAAATTATTTTATAATATGCATTTTATCTACTTGTTTTCTCTCAATATCTGTGTACAGGATAACAAACTACTTACTTATCAATTCGACAAAAAATAGTCCTCATGTTTATGTGATATTATAGATAAATATGATAAATTATTTGTCTACGGTACCGTCAGCTGTGATATCATAACGGTCGACGACGGCAAACTTGAAATGAACGCGTAGTATTTCTTTGAAGAACTTAAAAAATATCTTAAGTTGAACTTCTATACTGAGTAATCTATATAATATTAAATTATCGAAGTGCAGAGCAAAGGGTGTAATTTTATATACCTAAAACTCATTGTTAATTTTTTAACTATTATATAAAAAAGCTCTATCTTCTCAAAATATAAAACAACCAAAACGGTTTCAGTAACAGGACTTTTGTCAGCACAATTTTTGTGGAACACGCCGTTTCGTCCCATAGTGCGGTGCCATTACAACAATGGCGTTTACTAAGATCATGAAGGTTAGAGAACAGGAGAGCGATCACCGTAGAAAATAGTGTCCCAGAAATATGGACACCATAAGTGAGGCGCTGCGATCACTAAGTTTGCTCAATAAAAGTCATTTGTAGTCTATTTTTCCGATCAGATGCTAAACCAGTTGCACATCCACGCACAATAAAATATTTCTCCATTTTTTAATGTTTATTTTTATCAAAAATTACAAAATTACGGAGCATAAAAATTTTCTCATCGAAAATGAAATGAAAATTTGTACATTATTCAACTAACTTCATCTACTTGCACTCATAAACAGCTAACTTCGCAATCACTACTCACCGACGTCAGCGCCGCTATACATTTTACAATTTTCAAGGACAGGCGGGCTATGCTTTAGTACGTAGTGATCGTTCCCCTGTTCTCTAACCTTCATGACAGAGATGCACAGTTTATTTTTTTCTCTTAGGTCTCTAATCGTCTCTAGCTCGACTCACCAGTGCCCTTGCGTAGTTGCGCTCGCGCGATGTCGCGCGACTAATTAGGACAATCATAAGAAATTTGCAATTTTTGAAATACGCTTTGATTGCACGATGTTATGAACATTATTAAGCAATTCCTGTGCTCGCGCGATCACTTTCAAGAAACAGAAACAGAAACTTTTTTATTCAATGTAGATTATAACATATATACATACTTATTGAAAGTCACTTTTTTCATTTACCACTGGTTCGCAAAAAAAACCTCTGTCCTGGGAAGAACCAGCAAGAAACCCAGCGGGACTATTTTTTTTCCAATAATAGCTTTACAATAAACAACACAAGACAAATTAGTAATAGCTTGGTAACGATCACCCTTCCTAGGGGTTATTATCATCTATAAATTCCTTAATATTATAATATAATCCTTTTTATGCAAACTTAGTTTAATAACATTTTTGAACTTTGTGTATGACAAATTTTGTATTTTTTCGAAGATTTTGTTGTAAAAGCTTATACATCGCCCCAAGAATGAATTACTGACTCGGTGGAATCGAGTAACTGGTACTACTAGTTTGTGTCTGTTCCTAGTATTTACAGAATGAATATCACTTATTTTTGCGAAACTACGTTTATTCTTGTGTACGTACATTACATTTTCATAAATATATTGAGAGGCCAGAGTTAATATATTAATTTCCCTAAATTTTTGTCTCAGTGACTCTTTTGGTTTTAAATTATATATTGCTCTAATTGCCCTCTTTTTCAATTAGGACACTCTAAAGAAATGTGTGTAAATCTCGTGGTGCGACGAAATCGAATCGTTTGCTCGTGCGATCGTTGCCAATTATGACGTCTAAGAGGCGTATATATATAGGTAGATTGTTAGGCATTACTATGATATTTTTGGTAATAGTGATAAGGTCCTTACGACTGTGATGTCGTCATTGATAACAGTGATGTTTTTCTAAATGCAAGAAAGGGACTATAATAAAACATGTAGTAAAATCCTGTGATTCCCGTTTAGTGTAAACGTATAGTGAAACCTGTAAATGAAAAAATTGACTTTCAATAAGTATTGTTTACATATTATTGAATATAAAAGTTTCTGTTTCTGTATTGAAATAACTTGACTTCAGAAAACTCGATGATATTTTTTTTAGTAAATTTAAATAAATGTTTCTTTGCAAATTGTTTGTGGTTTTATTACCTCTAACTGACACATGCATCAGTAAAGCAGGGCTTTGACAATACTCTTACCACATACCAGAGGGGAAGCTACCTACAAACGGCTCGCTGCGACTATACCCATACATAGTGCAGCGATGTGTGCGTGAGAACTCACCGACAGGTTCACCGACGCTCCGTCGGGGTACAAACCGGTTTGCGCCGGCTCAGTCAGAGTATCCATGAAAGGGCTGTTAGTCGTGCGCATTTAAATAAATGGAAGAACAATATTTCGTGATTTTATAAATCTATTTTTTTTTATTGTTTTTACACTATCATAAAATAAGACATTATAGATTTAATTAGTGTTCTGTATCAATTAATGTCTAACACTTGTACAGTATGTATAAAAATTACAGAGAAAATAATACAATTGCCAGACAGCGGTGAAGGTGGTGTTAGTGGTAGTGGTGCTGGTGTTGGTGGTGGTGCTTGTAGTATCGTTGGTGGTGTTGGGTAGTGGAACACCACCGCCATTTATACCACCACCACGACCAGCATCACCACTACATTCATTACCAACACCACTACCACCATCAGCACCACAACCACCGCCACTGCTCACTACCAGTATCATCTAATATTACTACCACCATCCGATTTTTTGTACTCATGAATACGTTGACTTACGAAAATGATATTGTTAGAAATAATATATAATATGAAGTTTTTGTGAGAATACCAATTCCTTTTCCTTAAAACTCTCTCGAAGGGATTCGTGCGGTTTTTAATTATAAATTGAACGTATTTTCTCAATATTCGCCGCTTTACTCTACAGTAAGATTCTACAAGACAATACTAATAATATGAAAATTAGCAAAATATACAATTTATGTATGTAGTTTCAATTTAAGTTACAATAAATAGACATGTTGTTATATTTATTTAAGTTACAATGAAATCACATTTTGTTTTATTATACTATATTATATTGTTATTTTTTACTTAAATTTTCACATTCATCAATTAGGTGACAACCCTATCAAAATAGGTATACATTTTCGACATTGTTAGGAAGCTTCCCCTCTGGTCCTTACTCTGTGCTTTTACGTCCCGGCCAATGCAAAGGTAATAAAACCACATAGGTACAAATTTACATTACTGAAGTAGTTATAAGTACGAATACTGATTCTGATAACATAATTAACGGGAACCACAGCGTTTTGTTACATCATGTTGTATAATGGTGATGATGGTGATATTTGTGGTGGTGGTGATGAAGACGAGGATGATGTTGGAGTGGTCACCTGCTGCAGCTGCGGTATGATCTGCAGATGGTGCGGCGCGTGCAGCGGCACGTGCACGGTGTGGTACACGGTGTGCCCGTTGCCCACGCTCACCGGCACCTGCACCGGCACCATGCCCACGCTGCCTACGCTGCCCACTCCGCCCACACCGCCGCGCATCGCTACTCCGCCGCCTAATAGTAAACCCCCATGCTTATATCCATCACATTTCAAATGACATCTTCTTTTTAATAATTACACAGGTAAGGGAACGCGTATTAGCTCAGGAGCCAAGGCGATCGCATTTTATTTTATATATTGTACGAGCAAATGGAGTTAGTTCCCCGACAGAGTCAATGGATTTATAACTGAAACTACGTTCCGTTCGGCCTAAGAAAAGATAAGAAATTATCTGTACAATAAATTTAAAAAATATATCCAATGCAGATAAAAGTTTATAAAATTCTATTGCACTAAACAGAAAGGTTTACTTCTGTAATTTATTGAAACGGGAAATACTGTATGACTTTTTTTAACATCTAAAAAAATAGGGTGACATGTGAACGGAGAACCTAAATCACTGATATTTTACAAAAAAAATTGAATAAAATAAATAAAATCGATCGAAATTCAAATCATATCACAGTTATATAATCATTACTATAATATGTAAAATTCAAATTTGAGGAAGTTATAAACTATAATACTATCAGAAGAAAGTCAGCATTTTGTTTCCAAAGCAGGCAAGCATTCATGTGGGCGTCCAATATAGTTATTGTCAACATTAAAAACACAAGCTTAAAACAAATTATTACCAAATAGTCACTCATCCAGTACCTTATAATTAGTTTAGGTACTACCGCTAATGACAACGCTACCATTTTAGAACCCTTCTTCCCCATCGGTTGACCACTACAGTTTAATGATCCATTGGGTTATATCGTTTACACTCATAGAATACTATAATACATAGGGGAGAAGGAGGGACAGCGGGTAAGACGGGGTACCCAGCGAAATTAACAGTTTAAAATTTAAATTGACCAATCACGCTCGTTCATTAATCGTTCGACGCACCGCTGTGGTACTTGTCAGTCGCCCGGTGGTTAGTAGTTCACAAAAGCGCAGTGTCGAAAAAAATTCAAAAAAAGTGTTTTGCTGCAAATTGCTTATCATATGTTCTTTTGGTTTGACACGCGACTGTGGTTTGTTAAATAACGTTAGCTAGTGAAGTGTTGCTGTGATTGATGCTTAAACTAACCTATAATAAGGTAGGCGTTCCGTTTCCTTAAGATTGCTGTTTTTTCTTTTTTGTTTTTCTTTTATAAAATGGATCTGCAGGCAAGATGGGGTACCCCGTTACCTCATCTTGCCCCCACTGAGAATAATTTCGTTCTTGTTTGTTTTCCGTAAAAACGACTTTGTTTTTTGTTCTAGCAGCCACTATGGGTTATACTGCTGTAGACAAACGTAAACAGATTTCGACAAACGAGATCCAGTTAAATAACGGTCAAACTTCCACGAACCGAGAAGTATTTCAAGATATAAGCAATGTCACTTCTACCCAAACTTCAGACACAGCAGCTGTACAAACAACTGATAATGCTGCGACTTTTAACACTGACATTGTTGATGACTCTCTTCCAGAGTGTTCCCACTAGAGTCCTAGGCTAGTTAATCAGGAATCAGCACCGTATCAAACTAAAGACTAACCGGAGACATCAGAAGCAGAACAAAAAGAATCCGACCAGCAGACGCATTCACTCAAACCAGCTGAAAACCCTGTTTGTCAGAGAAATCACAACCAGCTAATGTGTGACACAGCCCATATGCGACAAAAGCGACAGCCGCTTTGTTTCTACTTCTCCAAAACAACTCTTTCCACTTCTACCTACTAAAAAATCCTCTCGTCAAAAAAACGTGAAAAAACAGCAATTATCACGTCGTCTCCCTACAAGCAAGAATTAGAAGTCATCGCCCAGAAAAAAAGATGCTGAACAAAAAAGAAGCTAGAGAAAATAGAAACAAAAAAGAGAAAAGATGAATTTAAAAAAAACAGAAGATAACTACTACGAAAGCTCAAAATAAAAAATCAACGAAGAATAGCCGATCAGCGAAAACAGCAAAACGACGAAGAGTCTTATTGAAGATTCTTAGAAATTGAAGAACAGGACACACCATGTATGTATTGTGATGAAGTATATTCTGTTTCCATTGAAGGGTGGATATCATGCTCATTATGTGGAAGACGGCCTTATAATAGCTGCGCAGGAATAGATGATGATGATGACGAAGCCACCCATGTCTGCGAGCTCAAATAATCATCTTTCTCTGTGATCATTCTCATCACCCCATCTTACCTCAGGGGGGGTCCCCATCTTACCAGCACCATGGGGCAGGACGGGGCAAAACCCCTTTTTTTAATTTTAATTTTTTGCTCTTAAATTTGCCAAAAGGACACAATATTAGAATAATAATAATTAGTTAATTTAATATGATTGTTTCACAATGTAATTTTTTATATTATTGGCCTTTAAAGCTTAAGTACCCCATCTTGCCACCCTATCCCCTATATAATAGAACGGGGGAGTGGGCGGAGCCCGTGTAGCCACTAAAATGTCACCAACATGTCAATTCACACGTATAACTGTCAACACGAGATATGTTTTGACGTTACAATTGTTTCCAAAGGAGAATGGCAGGCTTGTATGGGAGTTTCGTACCGCTAATAAAATTTCGTGTTTTGAAATATTTTTGGTTTTAATTGTTAGATAGTAAGATAGACAAACCCTTTTTAAATTCTCAGATTTTTAGAACTTGGGAGATAAAAGTTATTACCAGTTTTAATTTCTAAGATTATCTACATAGACCATAGACTAATATATAATATTGTGAACTAGTGTTACAATTTTTTTTATATAACTGGTTTTACGGCTTTGGGTTCTAGACCTTCTGAGCCTATCATTTCTTTCCTAATCTTCGTTTTTGTATATTTTTTTCATCACAATATGCTGATGCGTCACTTTTTGCGTCACAGTTTTTGGGAGATTATATCAACATCAAACCACTTGTTTCGTCGTTTTCTCTAATAGTTCACACGTGCAGACAATTAACAAAATCACATCACTTTTACGAATCAAAATCTACTTCAAATCATTATTCAAGCAACAAAACAGGAGCGACAAATTGTCCAACAATCCGTCGACGGCCAAAACCTGTCCTAGTGTACCTATGTTACATATAGGCAAATAAAAATTGTTTTTGTTAGAAAGTAAATATTCTATATTGCTTTTCGCTACTCTGCAGTGCTTTACTAACAGTTATTTTTTTTATAGAACAGGGGTGACAGTCGAACAGACAGTCCACCTGATGGTTAGTGGATGCTGTGGCCCATGGACATCTACATTTATCCTCGATTTAGAATCAAAATTCAGTTGCGTTGTTTTCTTTCAACCCACTTAATTTGCACCTCTTTTTCTTAGCTCCGCTTTTAAAGCACTGACATTCATTGACCCGTAACTCATATTGGCCATAATTAATCTCAGGAACTGCAATATATTCACAATGTTATTCTAAAAGAAATGAACACGCGTAGCCCACCTACTATTAACAGTGATATTTGACATGTCGGAGACCCACTCTCGCCTCTAGCGGCGAATTCATACGCGATAGCCTTCATTGCGTTTAGTTTATGCTTATATTACGTTTATTTATTAAAATCTTTTTATTGATATTATTAACTAATCCCAAGTTCTAAAAATATAAAACTTACATGAAAATTAATGGCTTAGTTGCCTTAATATCTGGTATTAATTCTATAACAAAACAACGAAAAAAGTATGCGGTACTAAATCTACCGTTCCCCTTTCGCATGCAAATTATTAAGACAATGCCAAATTGCAAACTATTTACAAATAAATATGTATTAAAATTTAAAGAATTTTTTTTAATGATGATCTTGAACATTAATCAAGTCTAAAATGTTTAAATTTACTCAGTCTGTCAACACAGCGAATCGGTTTTGTAGTAGTGATAATACGACGTAATTGCTTGTATGTGTGCTCCCGGCGACGCTGACCTTCGTACAAAATAAGGTTGACAGCCATTCTATTGTGTATTATAGTATTCTATGTTTACACTGGTTCTACTGCGGTTATCCCTATTTCGAATTCTTGCACGCAGAAAAACTTCAAGCAAAACCCTCTCTATAGATCTCTGGATAGATGCAGATAGCTCGGGACTGTGGTATAGGGGCATTCCTTGAGGGAGGCCTATGTTCAGCAGTGCACTTGTGATGATGATGGTGATACCCTTACCAAACGCGATAACTTTAGCCACAAAATAAAAATTCGCAATTGAAACGAATAAAGCTTATGAGATTTTATAGCAGAATTGTTAAATGCATAGAATTAATGCACGTGATGATCGAGTGAAATGGTAATATGCGATAAAATTAGAAAAGGCAAAGTAATTGTGGTGGTTTTTAAGAAGCATTGGGAAACCGTCGAGTGTTATCGTGTGAAGATAATTCTTTAAGTAAACAGTTAATTTTTTTTAATCGAAAGTTTTCAATGATGCCAGTATAAAAATTATTTTCACATTTCACACATTGGATTCAAGAAACCGTCGAGTATTATCGTGTGAAGAGAATTATTTAGTATACCAATAAATATTTTTTTAAATCGAATTATTTTTCATTGTTGTCAGATTAAAAATTCTTTCCACACACGTCGGACTCAAGCCTGTATACCAACCTTGCGGGGGCGGGCTGGTGGAGGGCTTGTTGTCCTTGGAGGCCGGAGTCTTTTCCGCTGCCCCGTTGCCGGACAGCTGGACGGACGAGCCAGCTATAGAGATGGGCTGGCTCGTCGGGATTTGAATCCCGGCGGGGAGGGAAAAGTTCGTCCCCGGGATTGTGATCATCGGCTGATTCCCGGTGAGAGCGCTCAGTGGGATGGATATGTTAGAGCCGGGGATTGTGACGGTCGCCTGTTGCTCTGTTAGCGGGCAGGGTGGTGGGGCGCGGAAAATACACAGATTAGTATGAGAGAAGTACGTTAGAAGCAAGAGTGAAAGGTGCGATGATAGTGATACATGAATTGATTATGTCGTTAAGCTGTCCATTTAGTACATTTTGGTAACCATTAATGTTATATTTAATAATGACTTTTAAAATGAAAGTTTTTAGCCCTGTTTTTAATTTTTAATTCGGTTTAAATGAAAAGTGGTTTAGAATTTAAATTAACGTATTTTTATAACGTTATGATTATTAAAATAAAAAAGTCTTAGATACTACGATTAAAGCAAAACGAACAAAACAATTTTTTTTCGATTCGGGTATAAAATCGTTAAGCTTTATATCGAATATCCGCGGACCGTTCGAAAATACACGGATCGTACAATCCTATAACAATCAATCTAATATTCTAAATGCCGATCGGTGGTAACTGCAGTTATTCGATACACACAAAGACATGTGACCCAATTAGCCAACTCACACTAAACGACACTCGACTCTTACTGTTTATTTCGATATTTTGTCAGCTCTTCATTTTTATATTAGAGACAGATTTTTTGAAGTAAAAAGGTCTTAAAAATCGATGTGCTTTGAAACTAGATGAAAGTACTAAAATTAGCCTACTAGAGAATTACATCGGATATTACATTAAATTAGTCCTATTAGGGTCATATAGGGTCTATTTTAGGTACACCTTGAGAGTCAATCAATATTTGTTCGATAAAATGAAATTAGCTATAGAATGAAATAGAGGGCGCTATTAAAAAACAAATTTTACTCGAAAGAAAATATACTTCTGATTTATTACACTAAAATTTAGGCTCTACATAACTAATAATAAGGGTTGTAACATTTATTAGCTATAAAATTACACTTTTATCTTTATTAATAATTTGCCGTGAACTATTTTTATTTTATATTTCATTCCATTTGAAGGTTCTCTTCTACCGTGTGTGAACTGCACACATGTTTTTTTATTCGTCGTATATATGAATAATCGGTAATCGGTAAATAATGATTAAAGTGACTGAAGAGCAGGCAGGCAATAAACGATCGTCCAACAGAATATCGGTTTATCGCCTGCCTTTTCTCAATAAAATTTATAAAGACCATAATTTCTTATAAAGTATAGGCTAATAATAAAATAATAAATAGCTACTAATTTTTTAATTTCAATTTTCAAACTACCGACGATTTAAACTTTAAATCTCGCAAGGAACAGGTATTTGTATGACCTACAAATAATTTTTCCGGATCTAAATGTTTGTCCTATTGCAATTTATGTATGTAAACTGCCTCCACGATACAGGGGCAAATAATAGTTTGACGTTATTATAAAAGTACTAAAAACATGGGCTCTTTATATTATGACAGCTATTCGACATATTCAATTCATTCGTTCAATATATGTGTGAAAGTTAAAATGAAACTTATGTGGTATCTCATGCATTACATTTTCAATATTTTTTTTAATATGCAAAAATATAAGTAAAAATGAACCAGTCCAAATGAGAGAATAGAAATGAGAGGTGAACAAAGCAAAGCTAGTGAACGGAAAGTGAATCCCAAAGCAATCCCGAAGCAAGGTGACAAATAGTAAAGTTACAAATAGGTTCGGCGTTTATATAAACTATATTTATTTGTTTGAGTAATTCTGTTCGTATAATTTGTTTCAAAATGAAAGGGGCTGTGTGAAATAAAATTTAAATAAATCATCCTATTTTGTACAAATATGCATTCTTTACATTTGCATGCAGTAAAAATACTATTATTATTATTTTTTAAATCTAACACTTAATTTGATTTTTAACAGTTCCTCATAATAACAAAGAAAGAAACATTTAACGTAAATATGCTTAAAACATAATAATTATGCAATTAAATTTAAATATTTATACCTAAATACATTAAAAAAGAACAATACAGCTATAACGAAAATTTTAAATTTAGGTAAGTATAAAAAACATTATGTTAATTTATTTGAATTTTACACACAGACTCCTCCATTATTCAAACAAGAATAAGTATATATACATCTGTTACATCTACTAAACAAGTCTTACCAGCAGGTAGGTGCATGACATTTTGGAGAAATCCGGCTGGAAGGACCGGAGTCCTCACCAGTTGTCCATTAACCAGACTCACTTGACCCATGCCGGAAAAGTTCTGAAATAAACATATTTTTTTTTAATAAACAACATAAGAATGTATGCACTTATCGTATTTTCTTAAATCCCTATATTTAATAGTCATATCCGCAACTAGAATGACGTGAAATCGATTGAAAGGATGTTTAATAGTATCCTATAAACGAGCATTTCTTGTATATATATATATATATACATATATATATATATATATATATATATATATATATATATATATATATATATATAGGAATCTCGGAAACGGCTCCAACGATTTTCATAAAATTTTGTGTCCAGGGAGTTTCGGGGGGCAATAAATCGATGTAGCTAGGATATATTTTTAGAAAATGTCTTTTTGTCCGTGATTTCAGGCAATGAAAAACTGCTACAATATAAGAAGGTAAATTTTGACATTGTGTTAATGATCGTAATAGCTCAAATGGATATCGAGCGGTCGCGAAATCGTAATGCCTTGGTTCGCGTCCTGACTTCGGTCCGACTTTTTTCCTTTTTATTTCAAGTTCCCTTCTTTTGTGAGAAAATCTATTATTTCGAGCCCTTTTTTTGTATTTTTTAAAAATATGAAAATTTTAATTAAACTAATTGTACTCATGATTTTTTATTGAAATAACCAGTTCAGTTTTTTCTATTATGTCAATAAGATCAAAAAATATTATTCATCAGTATGTAATTTGTATCTAAATGTAATTTCAAAAAAAAAAACCGAGCAAAGCTCGGTCATCCGGGTACTAGCAAATTATATGTGAAATAATATAGAAGTGAACATGTCAAACAAAAACCCTCCTTTTGAGGCTCCTCGCAGTCTGTTAAAACTAAAGTCTGAAGGAAGTACAGCTTTTTTCTTCGTTTTTTGAAGTTGGCTGCAGGTGTCCATGGACAACAGCAGCCACTTACCATCAGGTAAACTATAAATTTGTTGGTCATCACAATTTTATAAAAAAAAATATTATAAGAATTTAGTAAGCGTTATTAAAACTGGTCAAGTAGGTTTTTTCATGAATAAATTAAAAGTATCTACTTCTACTCATTCAGGTTCTGAATATGGTCAGAACAATTTTCTAAATATGTTAAAATTTATTGATATTTCTAATTTTACCACGTTTTTATTAATTATTTTTATTATCTGTCTTGCCGGGCGGAATTTAGTAATTGATTTTAAACTAACTTCCCGATGATTTGTAAATTTGAAATTTTGAATATAGCTCAAATTCGGATGGCAATGCAAGAATATGATAAAAAAACACGATAAATTTTTTTTAAATCTTTTTTTTATTTCATTTGTTCTATTTCACATTCCGTGTGATGTAGTTTTGTGTTTTCTTAAGAGGGCATTTGTACTGCAAAACGATTTGCAGCAATTTTATTTTATAAAGTTAGTGGGACAAACGAGATTACAATGCATTATAAGCAGCTTCAGGGCGCTGCAAAAAGGAGGGTCATGGCCACCAGGCGCAAATTCTAGGGAGAGGCAGTCAGTTTAAGTTAAAATTTTCTGCCTTAACTTTTTACTACCTGTAATAATATCATTTTTGTTCTAGCGGAACTTGCCAGCAGCATTCCTGGTTTTGAATTAAAACATCCAAATTTCAATAGAGAAGACGGATGGGTGATGTCATCTGCATAGGATCCTATAAATTAAACCCAAACCCAAGCATACCACTGCAAGACTTCATTATACTATAAGCTCGTTTTGCGTAAATCGGACCAAAAATTAATATTCAAAAACTGAAGGTAGCCGGACTAACTATGACATTGGGACGTCAAACATCTCTGTCCCCCCCCCGTGACCAGATGCTCCCTGGTCACGGGGGGGGGGGGAGGTAAAGCACCCGAAAAGTCTGGATAATAAAAATAAATTAAAGTAGTAATTAAACACGATAAAATCCGTAAATAATAGTTTTATTCAATGTGTAGTGTTCGCGTAAATTTAAGAAATCATTATTCCAGGTTTTGAGCATAACCAATTATTAATCATTATCCAAACCTTATTAAACTATATGAGATTGGATCAAAAGATTAAATTGAAAAGACTTCTACTCATTATGTGGTTGCACCAAGGCACACCTTTTTAATTTCGTACCTATTTTAAGATGATCTATTTTATTAGTTAACTTGGCTGACACAATGCTTGCACTATTTTTCCTTTCCCCCACGTCTAATCATCAGTCCTAAGAAAAAAAAGATGCCGAATATTCCATTGAACGCACGCGGTCATTATCGTGAAATGCTGTCTTAAAAAATTATTTAAGCGATCAAAGTTTGTGCACATGACTTTATTAAGAAGAAATTAGAACTATTCTATTTTGAACAAATTTTGTGCTTTCATAGCTCATCCCGTATGCACGAGCACTCGTAACCGATCTTCTCATTACCGATTCGCTCCACCAATATGAAATAACCCTAATATATAAAATAAAAAAAATTGGCCCAACCTTTTATATACATATATAATATATAAACACTCACGCCTGTCACCCAGAGGGGTAGGCAGAGACTACGGACTTCCATTTGGCACGATCCTGACATACCTCTTTCGCCTCCTTTACATTCATATATCTACGCATACATGCTCGTCGGTTAAGGGTACTTCTAACGTGGCCCCTTTTCAAAATATTATATTAATAGTTTTATAGAATTTGAGTAAACGTATTATGAAAATAATTTTATAAATTTTTTTAAGTGGTAGAGCCATGCTGCAGTTGTATTAGTAGTATAGTTGTAGTACGAATGGGTCGGCTCGACCGGGGAAGGACCACGTTCTCACAGAATACCAGCGTAAAATAGTAGCTTAATGCTGCTGTGTTTCGTATGGTGAGTGTAGAGAACCGGAGACCCTTTTTACTGGAAACGAGGCATTCCATCTTAGTTCTCACGGGTGACAACGTACATGCAATTTTGATTCGTAATCGAGGATAGATGTAGATGTCTATGGGGTACAGCATCCACTTACCATTAGGTGGACTGTGTGCTCGTTTGTCACCCTTATTCTATATAAAAAAATAGAACTATTCTATTTTGAACAAATTTTGTGCCATCATAGCTCATCGCGTATGCACGAGCACTCGTAACCGATCGTCTCATCACCGCTTCGCTCGACCAATATGAAATAACCCTAGTATATATATATAAAAAAAAGAATGGTCCAACCTGGTATATAGTTTTATAGAATTTGAGTAAACATATTATGAAAATAATTGATAATCAAAATCACAAACAAAGTAAATCACCTGTGCATGCTGTGCGGGTATGAAGAGAGCTTCCTGTCCATCCACAGTGACGGCTTGCATAGGGGCGACTCCTCCCACACCGCCTACGAGGCATCCCCCGTAAACACCACCTTGTTGCTGGAAAACAAAACGATAATATTCAGATAACTATAACGTGTTAGGGACACGTTGCATGTTCGACCGGGGAAAGAGCACGATATCACAGAATATCATCGTAAAATAACAGCTTAATATTGCTGTGTTCAAAGAGTGTAGAACACAGTTCAAAAGAACCTTCTTACTGGAAACAAGGCATCCCATCTCAGTCCTCAGTGATGATATAACGCATCTGTATTTTGAATCTTATCGAGGATAAATAGAGATGTCTATGGGCCACACTGTCAACTTATAATCAGTCGGACTGTGTGCTCGTTTGTCACACTTATTTTACATTTTTTTTTTTTGTTTAACATGTACGTATAAAAACACGATTCCAAGTATCAGCTCATATCGCCAACCTTTTAAGTCCATTTCCGTCCCGTCCATATTACTTGGAAGACATATAATTACTCACACATTGGCCATGCAGGTGAGTGTAGAGTCGATATTGGTAATGTTACTCCCATCACCAAAACTGTGGAATGTAAGCCCACCGTTTTTGTATGGATTTTCCACCATTAGTAAGTCGTCAGACTATGGTCATCTGCAACGCACATCTTCATATAGTAACAAAATGGTAATTAGAATTTCTAATACCAAGAATCCACATATTATTTACATCTGACTATTCAAAAGAGTTCCAATAATTTCTCAAGCCACTCATAAAAAAACTACAGAAGACTTTAAACGTAAGAAAGCAGGTTGCAGTTTTTTTAAAATATGATATACGATAGCAAATATCAACCAATAAACAAAACCAAAAATTTGCCCTTTATATTTATAATACAGGATGTTAGTGTAAACACCGTTATCCTTGAAACCAGTGGTTTGGTTTCACTTATAGAACGTAAATTCAATTCAATTCAATGAAAAATAACATTTTTTTTTTTAGTAAAATCTCAATTTTTCCTTAATTCCTCAATTTTTGCCTGTCCTAAGCCAGGATGAAAGTATGAAGGAAAAGTTACATCACAGGTTATGTGTACCTATTGTGTTTTTATTGGAATGTTGTGTAGGTAGCTAGCGCGGGCGGTGATCTTTACAGTGATTACGTCACTCGGACGCATAGGGTATCCATGAATTTATGGACGGTGTCGGACAGAAACTTTTTTAATTTTATGAAAGAAAATAGCGTCTTTTTTTAAATTCATTGAATTTACGTTCTATAAGTGAAACCAAACCACTGGTTTCAAGGATAACGGTGTTTACACTAACATCCTGTATATGGTTATGTAGCAGATGGCTAGTCGCCGTTGCCTGGCCGCCATGATCGAAACTCGGTCTGGAGGACATTATCTTGTTTTGTATATAGTATGTAACAAGCGTCCATGTGTACCAGAGCAAAAAGCAGACGGCAAACAAACATTTAATACACTAACTAGCAATCCAGCCCCGCCTCGTATGAGTGATTTTTGGATCTCGATAACATATGCATGTATTATACATATAAACCTTTCTCTTGGATCATTCTGTCTATTAATGAAAACCGCATCAATTTGCGTTGCGTAGTTTAATAGGTCTAAGTGTACAGACGGTGGGAAGCTACTTTATTTTATAGGTACAATGTGGAGGTTACAATGTATGAACCAACCTTACCAAAATTGCGTCATTTAAAAAAAAAAGAGAAAAATAGCAGAAATATGCTTTAACCAGACCTGTAATAATTGCGGATGGATTTGCAGCAACTGTTGCGGTGCGTTTTGATAGGTGGCGCCATCTCCCCCCGAAACCACACCGCCGCCTAACAGCGACTGAAGTTGTTGCATCGATATCACCTGAAATAATCACATAACATGTAATCAAATATAAATAGAAACAAAAAAATTTACAATACTTATTTTTACGAAAAATAGCGGTCATTTTTGTTACATTCAGAGCCGGAGTCAATTGGTATCTTTATTTTTTTTTTCAAAAAGTCCAAAAATAAAAGTATTTATTACTAATTACAAAGGCTGTCCCTCTCAAGAATCACTATCTAAAAATGTATAATAAAGTACTAACAACATTTGTATTTGTTGCCTGCCAACAGCCTCAGCATATAGCATATGCTAAAGTATGGTTACCTATAACTTTTGTCAAAATTCAGTCAAGTAATTTAATGTACTTAAAAACCTATACTACCTCAGCTCAAATTCTAATTTCGCCCCCACTTCCCCGCGCGTCGTATGTTATGTACAACGACATGTTTGTAATCACTAATACTGTAGGTAGATAGGTCATTAGATACTTATTTCATTAGATTTATCATATTTATGTCTGTTTCTTTACGCCAAACCAGTCTTTTCTTATTTTTATTACGATTATTTCCCATTTTAATTTTATGTCGTCCTGTTGCGTATGTCCATTCTGATCGTAAGCGACACGGCTCTCCCGTTCGAAAGCCGAAGCGAGACTGATCGGTCGGCAGGGAACAAGCTTCAAGACGCTGATAGTTTAGGTAATTTCTTTTTACAGTGAAAATAATGGTAATTTAAAAAAAAAACATAACCCCTGCTTTATAGTTAGTGCAGTTAGTATGCAAAGTTTCATGATCTAATTTAAAGTATTTTGTGAATACCAGCGGTTTATTGTTCGGTTTGAAGGCAACTTTAGATTTTTTTCCTATTGAGAAAATTTTGCGGAATCGTGTTTTCGGCTAACATAGTCCTTAACATTAATCCTCAACTTTACCATATATTTATTTCAAAATAAATGCTGCAATATCGGCACAACGGAGGATCTTGCTAAGCCATTCGAGGTAGTATAGGCCTTTAACAGCCCGTTGCAACACTTATATATAGGTACACCATTTAAAAATTTGCAGCATTTTAATAGAAGTATTATCTATTAAAGTTCATCTGGACTAAGAGCTGTGATCTCTAAAAATATTTTTAAAATAATTCTTCTTTACAGATTTCCTTTTAATTTGTGAAAGGATAAAAAACGAGAATAATTTGGAATTAGGGATATTGAAGTCGATTAATATGTGTACTTACTTTTTTCTTTTTATTTAAATGTGACCCCATGTTTCATAAACATAATTCCCTGTAGAGAAGGCATAATCCCAGAAGACCTTTCACTCAAAAAGAATAACTATTTAACAAATTTTTTTAACTTAAAACCCATATAATTACAAAATTATCAATAGTTGTCCACCTTGCATTCAATTTTTCATAGTTCTGTGCATCTCATCAAACAAACTCAATGGACGCATCTCACGTCATCTCACCTGCGGCTGTTGCACTTGGATACCGTTAGGCACTGTACTGGCTGCATTCACTATCGCTGCTGATAATTCGCTACCCTGAAATGAAATATTTAATATTTGGTCCTAATTATTTAAAAAAAAATCACAAAATGGAAGAACTACAATTTAGAATTAATGACATAATAATGTATAAAACACCCTGCACAATCCGAACAGGGCACATACTACTGAAATCGTAATAATAAGACAATAAAAATGTTAACTTTATTTTTTTTAATACGGTTATTTTAGGCTGGGCAGCTCATCTTAGTCCTTTAGTCCTCAGTGCTTGACAACATCTTGATACATATCTATTAATCTGTAGTCGACAACGAATTTGCGACTTTCTTTGTATAAAAATAGCTTTTTAGGTGTCCATGGATTCACTTGTCATCACATACAGCTTAAAAAATAAACAAATTTACCCCAACGTATGGAGTGTAGAGGTAAAAAGAACGGTCTCTGTACATAAAAAAAGTGTCGATTCAATTAAATTTAAATGCTAATCTTGTATACATTTGGTCTTAATTATAAAAAATAGTTCAAAACAAGAACCCTGCAAGGGCACTGCAACTTTCACAACTGTCCTTAGGAAAGCGTTAAATAAGGGTGGCGCCACTGTAGCTAAAGGGTAAACTTTAAAGAACTTTTTATTGCACAAACTTTCGCCACAATTCTTTTTTATAATAATTATTTTGTTTTTTTCAAAATTTTTATTTTCAAAATAAATTTCAACGTGTTCACGGCGACTTTTTCTAGGTTATGTTTGCTAACGTAAATAGTTGAGGTTTTAAATACTGCAGTTTCATCAACTACTCTAGTCACCACAAATATTATATTCCTCACCTCAGCACGCTTCACTTCGTCAACAACTGCTAAGTTCAATTCATACCCTCTAGCTGCTCTAGCGCTGTTGTGGAGAGTTTTTGAACCGTTATTTACTGCGTACAGATGGACAATTTTTCAACTATTCTCCATGTGAGACAGTCCTCCTTACCTCTACACTCTATGCCCCAACCATCATTAGTTATCTTGAAAAGTTTATCTAAATCATGTGTAAAAAAATTTATAACGAAATAAAATTCCTGTGTCTGAGCTATTGATTGTACTCGACGATAATAACGCTTTATAGTGTTAGTCGCATCATTTATTGTATAGAACCTGACGCCTCTCTGTATGTAACGATATATACAATTAGGTACCTAATAATAAAATATATAAATAGATAATTATTTTATATACCGCAAAAGTGGAAAACAGACATACCAATAATCTATTTGTATATGGATGGTATGGCTTATAGATGCCTAAATTTATAAATACTTTATTAAGAATCAAAACGCAGATGAGTTTTACCCCTGAGAAATAAGATAAAATGTTAATTAATGGAATCAGTCGTAACTTTGTGAATATCTATTATTAAGATGTAAAAAATTAAAGAGTTCCAAACTATAATTTGCATGAGAATATAAGTTAACCAATTATTACACATTTAAGAAGATTACAGAACAGATACAGATACATTCGATTACAGGCTTCGTTATCTGTGAAATCCGGTCTCCGGATCATCCGATTCTCGTTACATACCATACGACACACTATGCTACTATTTTATCCGGATATTCAACGAGAGCGCGATACATTCCTGGTCGAGCCGATCTATTCGTAAATTTCTTGCAATTCACGAAGTCAAGCGGGCTTTACTTATGGTAAACACGTATCTGTATACGTGTCAATGTGTGCGTGAGACCAAAAGCTGGTATGGTTAGCGATGGCACGCTCGCAGCTGAGCGCTCCGTCAGACACGCACGCTATTGTAATGTGCATCTACACGTTCAACCACAAGTAAAGCCATTCCGACTTCGTCAATAACGCGAACTTTAACAACAGCCGTCATTCCTTGCAGTGAGACTTAACCAAATAGAATAAGCAAATGTTACTAATTATATTATAAGTATCTCTGATAATAATCGTGAATGAACTCACCGTTAATCCTTGAGCTCTGAGTTGCTGCACAACAGCGGTACTAATGACCCTCAACTGAGGTTGCTGTTGTAAATATTGTTGTTGAATAGCAGCAAGAGTTGCCGCATCTCCTTGCACTTGTTGCTGAACGAGTTGAGCCTGTTGGACTTGTTGCTGTTGTTGCGCCTGTTGCTGCGCTTGTTGTTGCGCTTGTTGTTGTGCTTGTTGTTGTTGTTGCTGCTGCTGCTGCTGCTGCTGGGCTTGTTGTTGTTGATGTTGTTGTTGAGCTTGCTGTTGTTGTGCTTGTTGTTGCTGTTGAGCCTGTTGCTGTTGTTGAGCTTGTTGTTGTTGTTGTGAGTCTAGAACATATAAGATAAGTGATATATATAATTTTATTACTGTTTTTGAATTTTAATTAATAAAATATGAAGAGTTATTAGGATAGTTGCCGATAGTTGGTAGAGTTTCTGATCTGGCTGGGAGACCTTCTGCAACTACCCCTCTTACATATTTCTGTGTCTACGCAGCAGTTCACTAACTGTTGTGTTCTTGTTTAAAATATATGAACGCAAGTACAATTACAGATTGTGTGGCATTCCATCACATATCTCTATGCCTTTTTTGTTTGGAGTTATTTGTATGTGTCCATGAGTTACAGTACCACTTATCAATAGGTGGAATAAGTGGTTTGTTGCTGTAATGTTATTTTAAAAACAATTTGTAACATTAATGTTCTTCTAGTATGTCAGTTACAACCACAGGAAGAGCGGGATCGAGTAGCCAATTTAGTTTAAAAATACAGCGAAATAGTTAAAAATGGCCATCACACTTTATTATCAAAACGTCGGTTTGATAAAATCTTATAAAATTGTTGGTGTATACTTAGTTTTTTTGTGGATTATTCTTCAATGTGATGTTTTTACACCTCAATATGATTTTTAAATATAAGACTATGAAGTTAAATCTTATGAAGACTTCCAAGACTCTACCTGCCCTCACTATTAACTTCCCACTTGGCCACTTAATCAATTTTAGTGAAATCGGGTATTCGTTATACAAATAAGTGTTAAACAGTTTTTTTTTTGGAAACAATATAATCATTTCTTCTCAAGATGAGATAGTACCTCAAATTGATAGTATTTACTGTTGTATTAACTGTTAAATATACACCATTTTTTTATATGTAACTGTTAGATTTACAAAACTTGCATATTAATAACATTATTAAAAGTCTTACTAAAGTGTTGCTGTTGTTGTTGTTGTTGTTGTTGTTGATCCTTGTCCTGTTGTTGTTGGTCGGGCCCCATATTGGCGGCACCGAGGCGACTACACGTGGCCGCCAGGAGCGCTAGAGGAGACTGATTGCCACTTGCCTCCTAGAAAATGTGTGATCTAATATCATTTTTATAGTGTATTATATATATATATATAACCTCAGACACCCCAATTAGTATATTATGTTATAATCATAATACATACACTGAATTTTTAGTTAAACATTTTTATGCACTGATTATTTATCAAATTAGTTATACTAATTCCGGAAGAATGTTGTGGTCACAGTACAAATCCACCAAAGCAAAGACTAACTTGCTTGAAATAAAGTTAATTTTTCTTTATTTTTATTCAATGACAGAATTAGTAATAATACAAATAAAACTGCAGTCTTAAAAGTCTTATTGCCTTAAGTTAAGGTCCATTTCAGTTTATTTTGACTGTACAGATTTAGTGTGACTGTAATTTACGTAGTTTTAATTATTTTTGGGATAAAAATTACCTATATTAAAAATGATTGGGATCGATTCAGTAAACGATTCTGAACAAACTACTTTCTCAAAGTGCGTTAATTATGTTACATGTTGTTATATATATATATATATATATATATATATATATATATATATATATATATATATATATATATATATATATATATATATATATATAAAGATAATGTAATTAACCAACAATACCTAATATATTAAATTCAATAGTTTAATTAATCATCATCATCATCATCATTACAGTCCGTGACAAGTCTATAACTCAACATAGGCCTTTCCAAGGGAATGCCACAAATGTCACAAAACACAGATAAATTAGAAAAAGTTGAAAATATTTGATATATTCAACACTTGTTTTAGGCAAAACTAGCTTAAACCTAGTCATAGTCAGAAAAAAACCAAATTTGATAGAATGCATACACAAATGTTAAATAAAAACATATTATGTGAGAATAATACCTATCAAATAGGTCAGTGTGTAAACCTAGAGAAATGCAAAATAACAAAAATTACACAAAGACTATGAGTTGATCTGGTGAATGATAGCTGGAAATTTGTAATTCTAGTTCAATATAGAGATATAGAAATCTAGATGTTAATGTTACACTGTCTTATTCCATAAGTAAACTATCTGTGGTAGTAAATACCTATATTTTTAAAATGTTTAACATCATGACTTTAAGTTCCTTTTAGTAATTATGTGTATTTTAATTACATTACATTTAAAGTTTTTAATTCTTTTTATTAATTCACCATTAATTGTAACCAATAATGTTAATTTTAAATATTTCTATTGCTTTCATAAGAAGAGTTACAGATTATGATAACAATGGAGGTTTGTATCTTTCAAATGAAACAGCATAAATACAAGCTCATAGAGAATTTATAATGATCACAAATTTAATCACTCTTTAAGGATTTCACATATTATTCCATGTTTTATTTCTATTTAAGATAAGATGTTAAAAGCCTGAACGAAATGGTGTTTGCTTAAATGTCTAAGATATTACATAGCATGCATATAAACCTGAAATTTATTTCATGAATGTTTTCTTTTATAATCCAATCCAATTTATTTAATCTGTATCTAACCAACCACACCTACCCAAAGTTATTATAAAAGATCTTTGCACCTACCTAATGTTAGGCATGCATGTTAAGTATAAAAAAGTTGCTGTAGGATCATTTCTTGATAACAGAAATAAATTTAAAAAACAAAAAACAAAATTAAGAAACATTTAACTAAGGATTTTAATTATTCAACAGAAAATACTTCTTCTATTTTAATTCAAAATGTTACCTAAAGTGGTATAAATTCCAACTGAGTTTGAATGAATATTATTTAAGTAGGTAGGTACCTACCTAGCTATACTAAATTATTTGCATTTTATTTTTGGTGAAATGTGTAGTCTTGCAGTGAAATTTTATATTATTGAAACTAATTATTAAAAAATCTAAATTGTTGAACAAAAAACAATTAAACATAGCCTAATAACTTTTTACCATTCCAATGGTTCCATTGTCATGAAAGATGTTTTACAGAAAGATATTTGTAAAAAATGCTGTTTAGGCTCTCTTTCCCAGAATAATACAAATAAGATGCATGTAGAGGCAATATGGTCAAATTTGTTTTTATTAAGTATATATATTAAGGTCAGCTTTTCATCAACTAAATTATAACCATACTGACTATAAACTATAATATCTGTAATATGTAACAAAAGTTTTTTTTTTAAATTATCTGTAACAAAAGTTTTATTTACTTTAATTTCTTTTATTTTTAAAATTAACTAATATAAGGGCATTATCAATTTCATATCCTCTACTTTTTGATAGGTAATAAGTAAATTCTGCAATATAGTGAGGCTTTCATTTTATTTTCTACAGCTGTATCAACAAATTGGTTGAAAGTAGACAGGAATTTACACCATATACCAGTATCTCCATAACCAGTGTGTATTCCAAGGATATTTTTTTTGTACCTAATTAGAAGAATTTTAACAGATAAATACACAAAAGTCAGATTATGTGTAATGTGACCGTGAATAAATAGAATATATTTTATAATAAACATCGACCTAAGCTATCGATATAAAATGAGTATTATTTTTTTGCCAAATTTTAGAAACAATAAAGGGTGTTTACGTAAACCTTAATGAGAACTTTGAAAGTGAGGAATTGTTATAAAGTTTGTTTATTGCAGTAGTTGGGAGTTGACACGCCTTTCCCTAACAAGTGCCGGGAGCCGGGAGTCGTCGCAGGCAAGGCCGCCGCCGCCCTTTGGTCCACGGTCCACCCACCTTAGCTCGCGTGACCGTGATTTTTAATTTTAACAATTGTAGAGCCGCTGCATGGTTGATTTATACCACACTCTAACAACTACACGTAGCAAACATAAAATGTAATACGATATGAAATGAAGATTCTGAATTATTCTTATTCCTATATTAGGAATTTTGACAGTGCTGATTGAAAAATGAGGTTTGAAGCATTCAATTGGATTCATCTGACGCATATAAACTTTTTACGGTATAAGTAGGTCAGTTTAAAAAAATATAAGTTATCATGCTATATGGGTGGGAAAGAGATTCGGAAGAGGCTGTTGATGCTATTTCAGCAAGGGAGTAGCTCACGACGCGGTCACAACCTCCCGCGTGTGGCCTGGCGGGCCCCACACGGCCGGGCCGCACTCGCCCCGCCCTCCCCCTGCGTCGACTGATACACGAGACCGCTGCTCGCTGGCGTCTAATATGTTACACAATAACACTGTAACCGTTCACTGTACACTATTTACCTTGATAATTTTATCCTCACTAATATATTCCACCTGCACTTTAGAAGACTCAGACGACATCATCTAGTACACACTTGCAAACAATTATTTTTCTTTGTTCACGTACGGAACGCACCATTCTCACGACCGGCCGCCAAACTGCGGCGAGTGAACTGACGATTAGAAACGAAAGGCATTCGGAGTGCTTCGGAGATCCGCCTCCTATCGCGGTCGTATTTATTGCAGTATTATTGTTTAAAAATTTATAATATGCTAGTCTAAAGATAACAAAGTTGCTTTCTATAAAACATAATACAGTAGGTATCTTATACTGAAGTTACTTTTCCTTAATATCAACTGAACACTTATTAAAGTACTTATTTTACTTTGACGGCCAGCATCTCTGTCTCTTTCTCCCAAAGACAGGTCTTGATTATTGGTAGGCAGCAGCTGCGCCTCTCTTCTCCTCCCCGTCGCGGGTGCGGCGCCGCCTGATAATAATAATTGAAAGTAGGAAGGACGTAATAATGGGTGTATAACCTCGCGCCCGCGTCCTCCTTGGGCGGGAAAAAAATGCACACATGTCGATGTCGTGTCGTTTGGCGCGTCAGCCGCAACAAAACGTGGCCTGTAAACAAACGATAAGGATACGCTGGTGCATTCACAAATCTTTGTTCACATGATTCTGCGCAGATTGCGACACTATTAAAGTCTGAGAATTTCTTATCGGTCCTGACTTTTGTTTTGCATTCCATTCGCAATAAAATCGTAAAATATTTTTTTAATTGCATTTAATTAGTATTTTTAGCATTGTTTATATTAATTAATATATCAGCAACAGTCAAAGCAAATAAAATATATTCCAGTATTCATTCCATCATGCTGCTATTTCATCAAAGATTTATGAAATTAGACTAATTAACCATTAATTTAGAAATTTATTTCTTAAGTATTTTGTAGTGGCTCAAAACGAGAGTGAAAGTTGAACTACGTTTGTCAAGCGTCAGTCGCGTTCGCCCCAAGTCCATTATGCACGAATGAACAGCCGCCCCGAGAGAGCGTGTGTCCCGGCTTAATTATTTCTAATATTTATTCGCAACTTTGAACCTTAAGTCCTATGAGGTAAAGTTTAAAATCAGTTCCGTATCAAATATTCTCTTTATATTTTGGAATAAACTGTCATCAACAACATAGTTGTTTTATATTCATCCTTATATTGTTCACCACAAAGCACAAAACAAATTTAGTTAATTTTAGCTCGTACATCGTTGTTTGTTTCGAGTTAGCTCTATTATGGGTGTACCTTGGCGTGGCAAGGCATGCGGTGGCAGTGTGACGTTATACTGTTTGCGTTACAGTTACTGGTGAAATCATCACACGCATGTTAATTTTGGTTATTGTTCAAAATTTTGTTGCGTATTTACGCATCAGAAATGTTGTGCATAAAGTGATTGCATATACCCAGTAGGAAAGAGAAACTTGACAATGACGTAATTTATATACTTATCTACTTATACGAGTTGCAATGACTTTTGCATTCTAATAATCTTGGTAAACATCGTAAATTGTTAAATTAATACTCAATTTTGGTAACATTGTGTACGATACAATTATACATTCATTTTTATAACTAATAAATAATTGAAATTTAACGTAATAGAACAAGTTCTGAGCACGAGTAATTTTATCCCAAAATGATTGTGATCAGTTAATCGTTTCCTCGCTCTGCCAAGGTAATCTGCTTCTTACTTTGTTACGCAAAGAGTTGTGGAGCAACTGGGAAAGCAGATTTAATGAGTGTCGAACGAATTTATAAACATTCATAACAAACATATTATAATAAACTTGAACTAGAAAGTAAACGTCAATATGTTTAACTTTATCATTATGCATACTATCAATTAAATTGTTTTGTTTGCATTTTATATTTCAAATTTAAAATAGAGATTTATTTTAAATTTGGAATATAAAATGCAGAATTAAGATTCTTTTGTTGCTCGATTTCAATGTAGAATTGTTTTGTTAAATTTTCTCATAACTCTAATTGGCTAACACATAATAGTCTACGTACAAAAGTATTTTGTTATTAGGTAATTAAAAACTTACTATGACCTTTAACCTTGTGAAGATGTTAGTAGGTACATATATTTAGTAAAGACTCATATTAATTGATTCAGGTACATATGCATTAAGTATGTGGTACACGTAGACCTATATCCATAGTAAGTGAAACTGGGTAGTGTTTGCATCTTTCCTACAAAACTAGCTCGAGATATCGTGAAATTTTTAATGTGCCAGCCAGTGGCAGGATGCTTAGTGAACTCTCATTGCATCGGGACAGTGCTTAGCAGTCCACAGGTTGACGGAAACGGAAGTGACGGTGGGCGGGCCGGACCGCCCGCGCCACCCGCCTCCCGCACCCTGACACGCCCTAGTTCTTACGAGTAATGCTGCACCTCAATAATTACACAGCGGGCGCCATAATCATTGACCTCAATCAGCGAATATCATTGACCCCTAGCTTGCACCAGCGCGCAAAAAGGGCAGGTGGCTGAAACAGTAAGCGACTCATAAATAAATAACTTCCTACGGTCATCGATTTGGCTCGAATACATTGTATAATAGGAGCAATGAAACTACTGTTATCTATCTTTCAGCTTTATTCAAAGAATAGCTTCTTTATGAAAGTTTTTATCATTGAATGTAGTCACCTACAAGTGAAGAGCAGTCACAGTTACAGTACGCGAGTAACCCGGGTTCGATCCCTGTCTGCACCAATGAAGTTGTTAATTGCAATTTTAAGTGCTGATTTACCACGTGCTCAGCGGCGAAGGAAAACATCGTGACGAAACCTCGACGTCTGAGAAATAAGAAAAAAAAATATTTCGTGGATATGTGATTTTCGCCTACACGCATTGGGACATCGTAGCGGACATTGCCCTAAAACCCTCTCAGAAGTGAGAGGAGGCCTATGCCCAGCTGTGGGATGTATTATAGGCTGTAACTTTACATAGGTAGGTACTTTTTACCGTTCATTTGTTTATCCTTTATATTTTTTTTACTTCGTTACTATTATCGTTTTAGACTTCTTTATACTAGGCTATCATCTAATTACCATACCTGGTAAGTAGGTCTTCATTACTGGCTAGAAGCCTGTCTGTATTGATTCCACCGTCGAACTATATTTACGTAGTGGTAATATACGTCAATGGGTTCCACGCACTATTCTACCACCCAACAGCACTGCCGTATAGGTACCTACCTGTTTTAGGATAAGAGAGCCAGCATAAAGGCAAGCTATGAGGCATTCCGTCATAGTCCTCAGGGATGACAATGTATCTGTTAGCTTCTGTGGTGTTTAAAGTCGGTTCAATTGCATGGTCATACATTTTATTAACAAAAAACCCCAATTTTTTTTATAGGAATAGGGTGACAAACGAGCACACAGTCCACCTGATGGTAAGTGGTTGCTGCGGCCCATAGACATCTACATCTATCCTCCATTACAAATCAAAATGCAGATGCGTTGTCACCCGTGAGGACTGAGATGGAATGCCTCATTTCCAGTAAAAAGGGTCTCCGGTTCTCTACACTCACCATACGAAATACAGCAGCATTAAGCTACTATTTCACGCTGGTATTCTGTGAGAGCGTGGTCCTTCCCCGGTCGAGCCGACCCATTCGTGCTACAACTATACTACTAATATAACTGCAGCATGGCTCTACCACGAGCAAAAAGGGTCCACATTATAAGCAGAAGCCCAAACCAAACCTCACTCTCATAATCCGATGATGGGATCAGGCGCAGCACCAACGACTTTACGTGCTTTCCGAGGCACGTTGGTGAGGCACCGCCAACTTCCTGACTCCAGGCAGCTACTGAGAATTTCTTGACGGAAAACCTCATCATTTTTGCTTAGCTAATCATTTGGCCCGACCCGGAATTCGAACCCAGGACCTCATGATCAGCAGTCGCACTACTGCAACCACTAGATCAACGAGGCAGTCAACCTTACAACACACCTTACAATAAGGGATATAAAGGGGGGACTTAATGCCTTATGGTATTCTCTACCAGCCAATCCTGTACCTATTCATATTGTTTACCTCACCAAACACTTTTGAACTAAATCAATTAACACCTTCATTTTTATTAATAGATCATTATCACCATTAACATTATTATCTACAGTCATCCACATTCCACATGTCCACTGCTGAACATAAATCCCCCAAGGAACGCCACAAATCACGGACCTGACTCCTGAGCTAGCTGCATCCATCGAATTCCTGTATCTCGTCACTCCAACTAATATTTAGGGGTATCGCCCTACAGATCCTGCCACTTGAGAACCTTTCTTCCCCAACGGTATTGGACAAAGATAGACACATATTTATAATTTTTTAATTTTTATTTATATTTGCTATAAATTTTTGATAAAACTAGCAATTCTATAGCAATAACGTTCATTATATTTCCGATAATCACACCAAATAAGCAAAAATTGATTTTGCGTATGGGTTCTTCGCTTGAAGCGACAGTACACTAGAGGTCCGGTTCACATTCATACTTATCACTTGTCACTGCCTGTTCACACGCACTGAGCACTGAGCACTTGTCATCTATCTGTTCACTTGCCACTCGCACTTGTCACTTCATGTGCCCATTATAAACCGGGCCTTTGGTACGGACTACAAACTCGGAAAGTCCTCTATACAATCTTCTAAGTGTTACTTGGAATGAAGTATTAGTAATATATTAAGAAAAATATTCTTTCAAAGTAAATTATGATTTTAAAAATGTACCTAGATTATTAGAATAGCGGAATAGACCCACTTTTTATTTTAAAATGTCGGTGCCTGTGTACTCTAGGAGCTTTGAATTGGCGCGTATTTATTGTTTTATTACTCTGTTGTTTACGATATGACGGTGTTTCGGATCTCAGAGCAACTTTCAAGTCTCCAATTTAAGTCATTCAAAAGACTGGTCCTTAAGACCCAATACGCAGAGGATAAATAAACAATAGGTAATTTAATGTTTTTGGGCTTTATAGCATAAATGTAACCGCTAAGGTCCAGGAATTGGAAAACTAAATATATTTATCTAATATCTACTCAGCTTTTTGAAAGTAAGAAAAAGAAGAAAAGCCTTGGTAGCTCAGATGGTTAACGCTTGCTGTAAATATAACAGAACGCGAGTAACCCGGGTTCGAACCCCGCCGGCACCAATGAAATTGTTAATTGCAATTTTAAGTGCTGATTTACCACGTGCTCGGCGGTGAAGGAAAACATCGTGAGGAAACCTGCATGTCTGAGGAATAAGAAAAAAAAATATTTCGAAGACATGTGAAGTTCGCCAACACGCATTGGGGCAGCGCGGCGGACACTTCCTTGCCCTAAAACCCTCTCAGAAATGAGGGGAGGCATGTGCCCAGCAGTGGGACGTATATAGGCTGTAACTTTACTTTTACTTTACTTATATGAAAGTATATCCGGTACTTATAACAACAAAACAATCATTAAAATTTTTGATTTCTTAAATTTACGCGAAAACTACACATTGAATAAAACTAAATTTACGGATTTTATCGCGTTTATTTCACTACTTTTACTTATTTTTAATTCCCGACGTTTCGGGTGCTTTACAGCAACCATGGTCACGGGGGGGGGGGGGGGCTGAGATGTTTGACGTCCCAATGTCATTGTTAGCCCGGCTACCTTCAGTTTTTGAATAAGTATTAATTTTTGGTCCGAT